ATTATTGGGGGGCAGATGTATTTTTTGGGGGGGGTGATATAGGTCATTATAGAGGGGGGGTAATCATCATTATTGGGGCAGATGTATTTTTTTGGGAGTGATAGGTTATTTATAGGGGGGGGGGGGTAATCATTTATCATTATTGGGGGCAGATGTATTTTTATGGGAGTGATAGGTTATTATAGGGGGGGGGGTAATCATCATTATTGGGGGCAGATGTATTTTTTATGGGGGTGATAGGTCATTATTGAGGGGGGTGGGATAATCATCATTATTGGGGGCAGATGTATTTTTATGAGGGTGATAGGTCATTATAGAGGGGGGTGGGGATAAATCATCATTATTGGGGGCAGCGTGCAGATGTATTTTTTATGGGGGTGATAGGTTATTATAGGGGGGTAATCATCATTATTGGGGGCCAGATATATTTTTATGGGGGGGTGATTAGGTCATTATAGGGGGGGGTAATCATTATTATTGGGGGCAGATGTATTTTTATGGGGGTGATAGGTCATTATAGAGGGGGGTGGGGTAATCATCATTATTGAGGGCAGATGTATTTTTATGGGGGTGATAGGTCATTATAGGGGGGTAATCATTATTATTGGGGGCAGATGTATTTTTATGGGGGTGATAGGTCATTATAGAGGGGGGGTGGGGTAATCATTATTGAGGGCAGATGTATTTTTATGGGGGTGATAGGTCATTATAGAGGGGGGTGGGGTAATCATCATTATTGAGGGCAGATGTATTTTTATGGGGGTGATAGGTCATTATAGAGGGGGGTGGGGTAATCATCATTATTGGGAAGATGTATTTTTATGTGGGTGATAAAAATATTTCACAATATATAATCACATATTGTTTTTGTGATTAATCCCTGATGTCAACAGGGGCTACGGCTTCTCTGAATCTTTGTGCACCCCCAAATCAGACAGTCTAGATCTGACGCTGACTGTAGGTCCCAGTGGGAACGTATTTTATGTTGGGTGTTTCTGAACTCACCCATAAACAGGACCTTCTACCTCTTGAATGACTTTGCTGTGAGGTCATCGTAGGGTCAGTGTGATGTCATCAGATGAAGTTAATGTTTGGAAAAGTATTTGGACTCTTTCATGGTGACTCAGAGGGGCCAGAACAATTCCTTCTTTTTTGAATATGTGTCTCTTCTCCATCAATGACCTTCTCACCTCATCAGTCTATAGTAATAGATCATACCACTTTTACTGGGTGCGGGGGGGGATTCACTTAGGTGTCAAATTGGATATGCTTGTCTTAGGAAGAAAAAGGGAAAATATCTATTCTTCTGTTCTATATATATATATATATATATATATATATATCATCATCTGCTGGAGATAAAAGGCGTCACAGTGACTATGGAGGAAGAGGACGGACGTGATGGTGGAGGAAGAGGACGGACGTCCCGGTGGAGGAAGAGGACGGACATCCCGGTGGAGGAAGAGGACGGACGTGACGTGGAGGAAGAGGACGGACGTGCGGTGGAGGAAGAGGACGGACGTGACGGTGGAGGAAGAGGACGGACGTAATGGAGGAGGAAGAAGACGGACATGACTATGGAGGAAGAGGACGGACGTGATGGTGGAGGAAGAGGACGGACATGACAGAGGGTTACTGGGTGTAAATATAAAATCAGATCTTATTACCTCCTCTGCTGCCACTTTCAGCAATGTCTCCTCTACTTCCTCCCGACTCACCTCTCACCCGGAACTTCCTTCTTATACTTGACATCACTTCCTGCCTTCCATAGAGACTTCCTGTCTGGGTAGAAGTGAGATCCCCACCTTGTGGAGCTCAGAGGAACTGCAGCCCCGAGAATCGTCTGGTAGTGTGACCTGTCTGATTTGGGGGTGCACAAAGATTCAGGGAACCAGTACCCCCTGTTGACATCAGAGTCCCACCATTAAATGAGAATCCCCCCTTCACATCAGCATTCCCCTTCATATCAAGTCCTAGCGGGTATGAATGAAATCTGTGGGGTGTCCCTGGTTTCACATTTAAGCTGCTACTGATTTTTATGTTGGATCTTGGCGAGCTCCAGGACGTCACTTCCATACTATGGCCTAGTCTGCTTCTGACCTTCACCTGCTCATTGTTAGACTTCCTGCGTTCCGATGCTGTATTTTGAATTGTATTTTACACATCACTTTGATATCTCAGTTACTTGGCTCTGTACGTATATACCATTTGTTAATAAAACGCTTTGTAAAAGAAAATCTGTGGGGGGGGAGATAACTCCAACACCCCCACAGATCCAACCCTGGATGGTTCTGATATACATAACGATCTTCATTTTATACTCCTGATATCCTCATCCTATTACTATTCCACCAATCCCAATCCAGATCTGTTTATGTATTATCAATGTCATCCGTATACAGAGAAACCTTCATCGATGGTGCCACACAGTGAAGGTGGAGGAGGACCGGAGTCACATGACTGAGAGGATACTAAACCTCACCCTGGAGATCATCTACCTGCTGACCGGAGAGGTGAGGAGGATTCTGGGAGGTCACATGACATCACTCTCATCTCTATTAATAAAGCACGACCTGACCGGAAGAGGTGAGGAGGATTCTGGGAGATCACATGACATCACTCTCATCTCTATTAAATAAAACACAGACCTGACCGGAGAGGTGAGGAGGATTCTGGGAGGTCACATGACATCACTCTCATCTCTATTAATAAAACACAGACCTGACCGAGAGGTGAGGAGGATTCTGGGAGGTCACATGACATCACTATTGTCTGGTGGAGGGCAGGCATGGCCACCTATGTAAAAAATGGCCTATGGGTCCCCCTCCACCATGGTGCAGCACAGGCTTGCTAGTAGAAAAGGAACACCTCCAGAAGCTGGAATGGGAGCTGCTGTAACATCTACAGCTCTGCCCAGCAGGCATTGTGATGCACGGTATGGGGGGTGCTGTTCAGGGGACAGTTATACTTTGTGCTCCGGAATTTCCAGAGAGTCGGCTGTTCCAAGGTGATGGTGAGGAGGAGGAATTACGGGAGGAATGATAGATGGGTCTATGGACTGATGGACTTATCATTGGAGTATACTACAGACGTCCTGAGGTCTATGAGAAGGGGGAGAGTCGGATGTTTCCAACAAGAACAAGCTGGGAACTCCAAACTACTAAGACACAAGATGGAGACTAAAACCTACAGGATGGGCCATACTTGTAGTGTTAGAGGAAGGAATAAAAGTAAAAAAAAATTTTAGAATAAAAATACCGAGGCACACTGTCATCAGTCAACATACAACATAATAATAATTTATTTTATTCTAAAAAAAAAATGAAACACTTCTAAAAATATATATGTGTGTATATATATATATATATATATAAACTATATATATATATATACACACATGCATACACAAGCAAAATATTAAATATTACATAGAAAGTCATATTTACCATTTGTAACCAGCAGATGGCACCCTCCGAGCAAATGGAGCTGATAACACGACTGCAATGAAATTGTCGTTCCTGTCATGTAGTCCAATTCTCCTCTGCTCTCTTCATCTATAGGTTTCTCCTTTGAAGCCTCTACCGAAGGTCAAGGGACAGCAGACTACACTGCTAGAGGAACCCAACCAGCAGTGACCCCCCCCCCCCCTTCTCTCTCATCATGATGTCCTCCATGGAAGCTTCTGCTGAAGGTCAGGGGAGATCAGACTACACTGCTAGAGGGACCCAACCAGTAGTGACACCCCCCCCCCCTCACCATGATGTCCCCCATGGAAGCTTCTGCTGAAGGTCAGGGGAGATCAGACTACACTGCTAGGGGAACCCAACCAGCAGTGATCCCCCCCCCCCCCCTTCCATCTCTCTCTCACCATGATGTCCCCCATGGAAGCTTCTGCTGAAGGTCAGGGGAGATCAGACTCCACGGCTAGATGAACCCAACCAGCAGTGACCCCCCTCCTTCTCTCTCACCATGATGTCCTCCATGGAAGCTTCTGCTGAAGGTCAGGGGAGATCAGACTACACTGCTAGAGGGACCCAACTAGCAGTGACAGCCCCCCCACCTTCTCTCTCACCATGATGTCCTCCATGGAAGCTTCTGCTGAAGGTCAGGGGAGATCAGACTACACTGCTAGAGGAACCCAACCAGCAGTGACCCCCCCTCCTTCTCTCTCACCATGATGTCCTCCATGGAAGCTTCTGCTGAAGGTCAGGGGAGATCAGACTACACTGCTAGGAGGGACCCAACTAGCAGTGACCCCCCCCCCCCCCCCTTCTCTCTCACGATGATGTCCTCCATGGAAGCTTCTGCTGAAGGTCAGGGGAGATCAGACTACACTGCTAGAGTGCTAGAGGGACCCAACCAGCAGTGACCCCCCCCCCCCCCCCCCCATCTCCCAGTGCTTCTTCCCAGTGTGAGATCTCTGATGTACGGCAACATATCAGCCATATAGAAGACATTTCCCGCACTCAGGACACTAATTCACCTTGAGAGTTGAGTGGGGGTTCTCTGATGTCTGGTAAGACAAGACTTCCATGAAAAACATTTTCCACACTCAGGACAGGAATATGACTTCTCCCCTGAGTGAGACGTCTGATGTCTGGATAGACTGGACTTCTCTGAAAAACATTTCCCGCACTCAGGACAGGGATACAGATTCTCCCCCGAGTGAGATCTTTGATGTTTAACAAGGTCTGTTTTTTTGCGTATAACTTTTCCCGCACTCTGGACAGGCATACGGCTTCTCGCCCGTGTGAGATCGCTGATGCCTGGAAAGACTAGCCTTTTCTGCAAAACATTTCCCACACTCAGGGCAGGAATACGGCTTCTCCCCCTTGTGAGATCTTTGATGTTTTAACAACGTCTGTTTTATGCTTATAACATTTCCCGCACTCTGGACAGGCATACGGCTTCTCGCCAGTGTGAGATTTCTGATGTCTGTAAAGAGTGCACTTCTCTGAAAAAACATTTCCCGCACTCAGGGCAGGAATACCGCTTCTCCCCCGTGTGAGATCTTTGATGTTTAGCAAGGTCTGATTTATTTGAAAAACCTTTACCGCACTCAGAGCAGCAAAAAGGCTTCTCCCCGCTGTGAGATCTCTGATGTATGACAAGCACCGATTTGTGTGTATAACATTTTCCGCACTCGGGGCATGGATACGGCTTCTCACCTGTGTGAGACTTCTGATGTGTGTAAAGATGGTACTTTTGCGAAAAACATTTCCCACACATAGGGCAGCAGGAATACGGTTTTCTCACCTGTGTGTACTCTCAAATGTGTGGAGAGATGGTACTTCTGCGAAAAACATTTCCCGCACGTAGGACAGGAATACGGCTTCTCGCTAGTGTGGGATCCCTGAATTACAATAGATGTTATTTCGGAGCTAAAACTTTCCCCAGAATCTGGACAGGGAAATTTCTTCTTCTCCTGAACCCCGGCCCCATCCCCCACAGTACGAGGTTGCTCAGAGTCAGAGGGATCCCATGGTCTCTCCACACTGGGAAGTCCACCATGCATAGTGGAGCTCATTGTCTTTTCTCCGGCACAATCTCCTGGGATATCCTCATCTTCTATTTTACAACCTGGAGATAAAGTGAGACGATCCTTTGAGGGTTTCTCCATGGCGGGTCCTGAAAAAATAGAAAAAACATCATCAATAGATAGGAGAGGGTTAGTTCACTTCCATCAAGATTCCATCTGGATCAGGGAGATAGGAGGGAGCAGATGTTCTCTGTGGATGTCCCAACCAGCTGGGACTCCTCCCCTCTTCAGTCAAAGGGCCTTTGCTCCTCCTCCCAGATCACTTCTTCATTTACATCGCCTTGTCAGAGGAGCAGGAACCAATGGGGGCTGGGGGGGGGATAACAGAGCAGAGATAAGAAAAGAATATATTCTGGTCACCTGTGCTGATCTCTGTAGGAGTGTCCTCCTCTATGAATGTCCTCCTCATTCCAGCCTCCTTCGTATATTGCTGATCATCCCTCACATACGTCTCTTCTACTTCACCCTCAACTTTCATGTTCATCAGATCTTCACCCTAAACCAACAGAATGGCAGAAAATAACATCTGTAACATAGAAGGATTTATGATGTGAGATCACATAGAACATCTCATCTTGTAGAGTCCACACATCGTCTCCACATGTCAGAGTGTTCCATCACTTTATGTTCCCGACCCTCAACTCCACCGACCTGATGATGGTGAGGGATAGTGTGACCTTCCTGTGTGGAATCCCGGGAATACAGAGGACGGGGACATCTCTCTGGTGCATTCCTGGTATTAGGTGGCTCCACCATATTGTTCTTGTAGAGATCTTTGAGTTCTTCAGAAAGTTCCTTCATCACTCCATACTCCTCATCCTCCTCTTCTTTAACAATAATATTGTAATCCCCGAGGTTTCCACTCTGAATATATAATAAAACATTCAATGTAACAAACATGCCGTGTATAAATCAGAACTACTAGTGATTGTTCCTCATCTACCTGATGATGGTGAGGGATGGTGTGATCTTCCTGTGTGGAATCCCAGGAATACAGAGGATGGGGACATCTCTCTGGTGGGTTCCTGATATTAGGTGGCTCCATCATATCCTTGTGTTCTTCTGAAAACTTTTCCATCACTCCATACTCCTCATCCTCCTCTGTTATCTCTTCTTTAACATCAATATTATCATTCCCGAGGTTTCCACTCTGAATATATAATAAAAATGACATCAATGGTAACAATGCAGATAATGTACAGATCCTAATGATACTATCATTGATTGTTCCTCATCTATTCACCTGATGATGGTGAGGGATGGTGTGACCTTCCTGTGTGGAATCCCGGGAATACAGAGGACGGGGACATCTCTCTGGTGGGTTCCCATGACTGGATCCATCTGTAGGAAACACACACACTGACTGAATCCATTGTTTCTATGTGTTTATCAGATGATGAGGGGGATCTAGGTGGATCCTCCGTACTGCTCTCTCCTTTCCAATAAAGTCTCCTCTTACCCGGTGATGTGAGGGGTGGCTGATTGTCCATCATGACGTCCTTGTAGAGGTCCTTGTGTCCTTCTAAATACTCCCACTCCTCCTTGAAATGGATTGGCCGGTATATCTTCTTCTGATGTGTCGCTTTTCCACCAATGGCCTTCTCACCTTATCAGTCTTTCCTAACAGATTATAAAACTGTAATTAGGTGCGGGGGTTGGGGGGGGGATCATGTAGATTTGGATCCATTTGTCTTTGCTATTTGTACTTTGATTAGGATGAAAACAAATCCTCGATTCTCTATATTATATGTGTGTATCATCATCTGCTGGAGATAAAAGACGTCACAGTGACTATGGAGGAAGAGGACGGACATGACGATGGAGGAAGAGGACGGACGCGACGATGGAGGAAGAGGAGAGACGCGACGGTGGAGGAGGGACGCGACGGTGGAGGAAGAGGACGGGCGTGACGGTGGAGGAAGAGGACGGGCACGACGGTGGAGGAAGAGGACGGACGCGACGGTGGAGGAAGGACGGGAGTGACGGTGGAGGAAGAGGACGGGCGTGACGGTGGAAGAAGACGGGCGTGACGGTGGAAGAGGATGGGCGTGACGGTGGAGGAAGAGGACAGGACGGTGGAGGAAGAGGACAAGACGGTGGAGGAAGAGGACGGGCGCGACGGTGGAGGTAGCGGACGGACGCGACGTTGGAGGAAGAGGACTGGCGTGATGGTGAAAGAGGACGGCCATGACGGTGGAGGAAGAGGACGGGCGGGACGGTGGAGGAAGAGGACGGGCGCGACGGTGGAGGAAGAGGACGGGCGCGGCGGTGGAGGAAGAGGACGGGCGCGGCGGTGGAGGTAGCGGACGGACGTGACAGTGGAGGAAGAGGACAGGCGCGACGGTGGAGGAAGAGAACGGACGGGACGGTGGAGGAAGAGGACGGGCGCGACGGTGGAGGAAGAGGACGGGCGCGACGGTGGAGGAAGGGGACGGGGGGGTTACTGGGTGTACATAGAGAATAAGATCTTATTACCTCCTCAGCTGCTACTTCCAGCAATGTCTTCTTACGTATACCTGACATCACTTCCTGTCTGTACTTGACATCACTTCCCATCTTCCATAGAGACTTCCTGTCTGGGTAGAAGTGAGATCACCACCTTGTGGAGCTCAGAAGAACTGCAGCCCCGGGAACCGTCTGGTAGTGTGACCCCGACTTTGTGCTGGGTGTGTATGGACTGTATGTCCTCATAGATGGGTCACCTCCACTCCCTCCAAGGGGGACAGAAAATATTTCACCAATGGTCAGCTGCATTGCTTTAGGCAACGTGCAGTGCATTGTCAGGTGCGGCGGGCGAATATCCCGCTGAATGCCCTTTCCATTCATGTGTTCGCCAAACACACGAACGGCTGATGTTCGAGTTGAACTTCTGTTCAACTCAAACATCAAGCCCAGCACTACCCTCCACCATGAGGGCTTTTTTCTCCTTCTAGGCTAAGGATACATCTATGACAGGGGTGGGCAACTGTGGCCCTCCAGCTGTTGTAGAACTACAAGTCCCATGAGGCATTGCAAAACTGACAGTTACAAGCATGACTCCCAAAGGCAGAGGCATGACGGGACTTGGAGTTCACCAACAGCTGGAGGACCACCACTGATCTATGGCATTCTGCAGCCTCGGTTGGCTGAGGATACAAAGAAGAAAGCTTGGGTCTCACCAGGAAGGGAGCAGTTTCCTCTGGAAGTCAATAGGTCCCCACCATTTCCCTGGAGATCTGTGAGCAGATATTTACAAAGCTTGAAGCAAGCTTTTAGCCTTCTCAGAACTTTCATCTCCAGGCTAGTGGTCCTCAATTCAAATCTTCCTGGAAGTGCTGCTCATATATATATAAACATGCTGTTGGTAGGTTTTGGTACTGCGGACGATTCCTAAAGCAAACCAGGTTTTCTTCACATGTTCATCTTTCTAAACAAAAAAAATTGAGAGCAATTTCCATCCATGGTCTCCCTCATGCCATTCCACAAGAATAAATTAGGCTCAGCTCACATTACCACTCTGAGCCGAGCTCATTTCTGAAGAACCTTGACAGATCTTGTGGTTGGAGATTGTGATGTAAGCCCTCTTCTCATTTCTCCTCCAACAAATCAGTTTTTTTTCACGTGTCCTAAATGAAAAACCTTTCGAGAGCAATTTCCAACTTTGGTCTCCCATATGCCATTCCACTCTGTCAAGAATAAATAAAGCCCAGCTCACATCATCACCCGGGGCTGAGCTCATTTCTGAAGAGCCTTAATTGGTGTTCCAGAAACACGCCTTGACTCCTCCCAGAACTGGGCTGTTTGTATTCATGCTGACCCTCTTGTTTAGAAGGACACAGGACATAGAAAAGATGGAGGGGGGGGGGGGGGGGGTTTCTCTATGTTAGATGTGATGTGAAAGTGAGGAAGAAAGATGATCTTGTGGTTGGAGGTGGTGATGGTGCGGAGGAGGAATTACGGGTGGAATGATAGATGGGTCTATAGACTGATGGACTTATCATTGGAGTATACTACAGACGTCCTGAGGTTTATGAGAAGGGGGAGAGTCGTCTGTTCCAACAAGGTGATGGTGCGGAGGAGGAATTACGGGAGGAATGATAGATGGGTCTATGGACTGATGGACTTATCATTGGAGTATACTACAGACGTCCTGAGGTCTATGAGAAGGGGGAGAGTCGGTTGTTCCAACAGGGTGATGGTGCGGAGGAGGAATTACGGGAGGAATGATAGATGGGTCTATGGACTGATGGACTTATCATTGGAGCATACTACAGACGTCCTGAGGTCTATGAGAAGGGGGAGAGTCGGCTGTTCCAACAAGGTGATGGTGCGGAGGAGGAATTACGGGAAGAATGATAGATGGGAATGTGGACTGATGGAATTATCATTGGAGTATACTACAGCCATCCTGAGGTCTATGAAAAGGGGAAGAGTCGGCTGTTCCAACAAGGTGATGGTGCGGAGGAGGAATTACGGGAGGAATGATAGATGGGTCTATGGACTGATGGACTTATCATTGGAGTATACTACAGATGTCCTGAGATCTATGAGAAGGGGGAGAGTCGGCTGTTCCAACAAGGACAAGCTGGGAACACCAAACTACTAAGACACAAGATGGAGACTAAAACCTACAGGATGGGCCGTACTTGTAGTGTTAGAGAAAGGAATAAAGGAGAAGAACATTTCATCATACAAATCTGAAGGAAGACTTCTATCAATAAACTTACAGAGAATATCACGAGTCTAAGAATATAAATCTTTAATCTTCATTTGTTTCATATTAAAAAAGGTGTAAATATGTTTGCATTTTTAATCACATAAATGTAAAATTTTAAATCAATACCATATTTTCCATTTTTCCACAGCAGGTGGCTCTCTCCAAGCAAATGAAGATTCTCCTGCATGCTAAAAACAAAATGGTCAGTCCTGCCATGTAGTCTCATCTCCCCTTTTCTTCATCCACAAGCAGTATCTAGCTCCTCTCTCACCATGATGTCCTCCATGAACGCTTCTGCTGAAGGTCAGGGGAGATCAGACTACACTGCTAGAGGGACCCAACCAGCAGTGACCCCCCCCTCCTTCTCTCTCACCATGATGTCCCCTATGGAAGCTTCTGCTGAAGGTTAGGGGAGATCAGAATACACTGTTAGAGGGACTCAACCAGCAGTGACCCCACCTCCTTCTCTCTCACCATGATGTCCTCCATGGAAGCTTCTGATGAAGGTCAGGGGAGACCAGACTCCACTGCTAGAGGGACCCAAAACAGCAGTGACCCCCCCCCCCCTTCTCTTTCCTAGCAGAGGAAGCCAGACACAACTTTGAAGTCTTTAGTGATCTATTATCTCCTTATAAAGTGTTTCTTCCATGATAAAGATCAGAGGAGCGCTCAGCCACGTGTTTTCTGAGGTGTATACCAAGGTGTGCTTCTTCCCAGTGTGAGATCTCTGATGTACGGCAACTTATCATCCATATAGAAGACATTTCCCGCACTCAGGGCACTAATACACCTCAAGGGTTGTGTGGGTTCTCTGATGTTTAACAAGGTGTGATTTCTGTGAAAAATGTTTCCCACACTTACGGCAGGAATGCGGCTTCTCCCCCATATGAGATCTCTGATGTCTCAAAAAATGGGACTTATCTGAAAAACATTTCCCACACTCAGGGCAGGAATATGGCTTTTCACCAGTGTGCGATCTCTGATGTGTGTAAAGACTGGTCTTCTGCGAAAAGGTTTTCCCACACTCAGGACACGAATACGGCTTCTCCCCCGTGTGAGATCTGTAATGTCTGCCAAGGTCTGATTTAGAGAGAAAACATTTCCCGCACTCAGAACAGGAATAGGGTTTCTCCCCTGTGTGAGATCTTTGATGTATAACAAGGTCTGATTTAGAGGGAAAACATTTCCCACACTCAGGACAGAAATAAGGCTTCTCCCCTGTGTGAGTCTTCTGATGTCTCATAAAACTGGCCTTAGCTGAAAAACATTTCCCACACTCATGGCAGGAATACGGCTTTTCAACAGCATGCATTATCTGATGTCTACTCAGGTAGGATTTCTGCGAAAAAGTTTTCCAGCACTCAGGACAGGAATATGGCTTCTCCCCAGTATGAGATCTATGATGTCTTACTAGTCCTGATTTATTGGGAAAACATTTCTCGCACTCAGAACAGGAATTACGTTTTTCCTCCGAGTGAGACCTCTGATGGATTATAAGACTAAAGTCAGAGCTAAAACTTTTCCCGCACTCAGGACTGGAAAATATCTTCTCCCCCTGAACCCCGGCCCCATCCCCCACAGTACAAGGTTGCTCAGAGTCAGAGGGACTCCATGGTCTCTCCACACTGGGAAGTCCACCATCCATAGTGGAGCTCATTGTCTTTTCTCTGGCACAATCTCCTGGGATGTCCTCATCTTCCATTTTACAACCTGAGATAAAGTGAGACGATCCTTTGAGGGTTTCTCCATGGCGGGTCCTGGAAAAATAGAAAAACATCATCAATAGATAGGAGAGGGTTAGTTCACTTCCATCAAGATTCCATCTGGATCAGGGAGATAGGAGGGAGCAGATGTTCTCTGTGGATGTCCCAACCAGCTGGGACTCTTCCCCTCTTCAAAGAGCCTTTGGTCCTCCCAGATCACTTCTACATTTACACCGCCTTGTCAGAGGAGCAGGAACCAATGGGGGCGGGGGGGGGGGGGGGGATAACAGAGCAGAGATAAGAGAAGAATATATTCTGGTCACCTGTGCTGATCTCTGTAGGAGTGTCCTCCTCTATGAATGTCCTCCTCATTCCAGCCTCCTCCGTATATTGCTGATCATCCCTCACATACGTCTCTTCTACTTCACCCTCAACTTTCCTGATCATCAGATCTTCACCCTAAACCAACAGAATGGCAGAAAATAACAGCTGTAACAGAAGGATTTATGATGTGAGATCACATAGAGCATCTCATCTTGTAGAGTCCACACATCGTCTCCACATGTCAGAGGGCTCCATCACTTTATGTTCCCGACCCTCAACTCCACCTACCTGATGATGGTGAAGGATGGTGTGACCTTCCTGTGTGGAATCTCGGGAATACAGAGGACAGGGACATCTCTCTGGTGGGTTCCTGGTATTAGGTGGCTCCATCATGATGCCCTCATAGAGATCCTTGTGTCCTTCAGAAAGCTCTTTCATCACACCATACTCCTCATCATTCTCTTTATATTCTTCTTTAGCAATATTACGATCCCCAAAGTTTTCATTCTAAATATATAAAAAGATATTGTAACATACAATTTTGGGTATATAATATAACTATCAGTGATTGTTCCTCATCTACCTGATGATGGTGAGGGATGGTGTGACCTTCCTGTGTGGAATCCCGGGAATACAGAGGATGGGGACATCTCTCTGGTGGGTTTCCATGACTAGATCCATCTACCTGATGATGGCGAGGGATGGTGTGATCTTCCTGTGTGGAATCCCGGGAATACAGAGGACGGGGACATCTCTCTGGTGGGTTCCCATGACTGGATCCATCTGTAGGAAACACACACACTGACTGAATCCATTGTTTCTATGTGTTTACCAGATGATGGGGGATCTAGGTGGATCCTCCGTACTGCTCTCTCCTTTCCAATAAAGTCTCCTCTTACCCGGTGATGTGAGGGGCGGCTGATTGTCCATCATGACGTCCTTGTAGAGGTCCTTGTGTCCTTCTAAATACTCCCACTCCTCCATGGAGAAATAGACAGTGACACCCTGACATCTTATAGGAACCTGACACACACAATGATACAGTCACCATCCAGACACATCCCTTGTCTGTTACTGGAGAATGTCCTAGAATTCCCGGCACCGCTCACCTCTCCTGTCAGCAGCTCCATCATCTTCTTGGTGACTTCTAGAATCTTCTGCATGTTGGATCTCTCAGGGTTTAGGGAGTCACATGGAGGCACTGTGATGGTCATATGATCACCTGACTTCAGAAGAGGAAATCTCTGTATTGAGGAACCAATAGGAACATCATGTTAGACTCCCAGAATCCTCCTCACCTCTCCGGTCAGGTCTGTGTTTTATTAATAGAAATGAGAGTGATGTCATGTGACCACCCAGAATCCTCCTCACCTCTCCGGTCAGCAGGTAGATGATCTCCAGGGTGAGGTTTAGTATCCTCTCAGTCATGTGACTCTGGTCCTCCTCCATCCTCATTGATGTGGTCATGTGATCTCTGTAGATGGATAGAGGAGAATTATCTGGACTGTATTGGTTGTACAACATTACGATGGGGATATAAGGGGTTCATAGTTGGGCTGCCCCCGTGGGTTTACCAGAATTTGTTGTGTTTTTGCCTCCTGTACACCTGTTATATTTTATCCTTCCTCCTCCCTCATCATTAGCTGATCTCAGACTCCCCTCTTATAGTCGGGGAAGGGGGGGGGAGGAGTTATCCGCTCCGCATCCTCATTATTGGCTTCTATGAGGTTGAGTGCAGGCACAACCACAAATTCTACCAACAATCACATCCCGTAAATTGGGGTCAAATTTCAGTACAACCTGATTCCGAATCCCATCCCCCGTTACAAGAGACTGCTGAGGAGAGAAGATGACATCTCCACAATGAGGAGAATGTTCTGGCCCCGGAAGTGGGGGAATGTTCTGCCCCTGAAGGGGTTAATCTGGGTTCCCACACTATATATGTGTGTATCATCATCTGCTGGAGATAAAAGACGTCACAGTGACTATGGAGGAAGAGGACGGATGTGACGATGGAGGAAGAAGGACGATGGAGGAAGAGGACGGATGTGACGATGCAGGAAGAGGACAGACGAGACGGTGGAGGAAGAAGACAGACTTGACCGTTGAGGAAGAGGACAGACGTGACGATGGAGAGTAAGAGGACGGACGTGACCGTGGAGGAAGAGGACGGACGTGACCGTGGAGGAAGAGGACGGACGTGACCGTGGAGGAAGAGGACGGACGTGACCGTGGAGGAAGAGGACGGACGTGACCGTGGAGGAAGAGGACGGACGTGACCGTGGAGGAAGAGGACGGACGTGACCGTGGAGGAAGAGGACGGACGTGACCGTGGAGGAAGAGAACGGACGAGACGATGGAGGAAGAGGACGGACGAGACGATGGAGGAAGAGGATGGAGGAAGAGGACGGACGAGACGATGGAGGAAGAGGACGGACGAGACGATGGAGGAAGAGGACGGACGAGACGATGGAGGAAGAGGACGGATGAGACGATGGAGGAAGAGGACGGACATGGCAATGGAGGAAGAGGACGGACTAGACAGTGGAGGAAGAGGACGGACATGACGATGGAGGAAGAGGACGGATGAGACAATGGAGGAAGCAGACGGACATGGTGATGGAGGAAGAGAATGGACATGATGGTGAAGGAAGAGGACAGATGTGACGGTGGAGGGAGGACGAGGACGGGCGTGACGATGGAGGAAGAGGACGGGCGTGACAGGGGGTTACTAGGTGTAAATATAAAATAAGACCTTATTACCTCCTCTGTTGCCACTTCCAGCAATGTCTCCTCTCTACATCTTCCCATCTCACCTAGAATTTCGTATTTATACCTGACATCACTTCCTGTCTTCCATAGAGACTTCCTGTCTGGGTAGAAGTTAGATCACCACCTTGTGGAGCTCAGAGGAACTGCAGCCCCGAGAAGTGTCTGGTAGTGTGACCCCGGCCTTGTGCTGGGTGTGTATGGACTGTATGTCCTCATAGAGGGGTCACCTCCACTCCCACCAAGGGGGACAGAAATATATGACTGATCGGGATGAGTGGAGGGATTTTGGTTCCTTTGGCTTTGCAGCAAAACTGATTACAGGTTTATTCCTGATTAATCTCTAATTTTTCATTGTCTGGCACTACGGAAAAATTTGCTTTCAAAAACTTATCTACCTTGATGAAAACCTTCTCTTCTGTGGCTTTGCGAGCCCAGTGATGCCCCCATTCACCAAAGAAGACTCCGGTAGTGGTGGAATTGGTGATGTTGGTCTCCCACCACCCTCCTCATCAGATGTACCCAGCAGCAAGCATTCTTATTTCAGCATGTCCCACCGCACCACATGGACAGAAAGAACCGTAGCAGAGAGGAAAAGGTGGAAAAGGCTCCTGAATCCCAGGATGTGATGGTGGAGGATTAGCCAATTATAGGAGGAGGATCTTGAAGGGGAAGGATATAGTGGAGACCATAGGCTAGGGGTGTCCAAACTATGGCCCTCCAGCTGTTGAAGTACTACAAGTCCCATCACACCTCTGCCTCTGGGTGTCTTGCCTGTGGATGTCAGAGTTTTGCAAGGCCTCATGGGACTTGCAGTTCCTCAACACCTGGAGGGCCATAGTGTGGACACCCCTGCCATAGGCCCCGGCCTGGAAGCATGATATAGAGTGGGCCTGGAAGTTCGGCCTGGAAGCATGATATAGAGTAACAAGTCACAAAGACCAATACGTGGAGGTCAGAGAGAGAAGTCAGCATGCATCTGGTTTTGGGAGGTCTAACTTGTGCCCACCAAAGCAACCGAGGTGGTTCCAACACTTCCACCATGAAGGCCTTTTTCTCCTTCCCTGCCAAGGATGCATATATGGCATTCTTCAACCTTTGCTGGCAGAGGATACAAAGAGGGAAGCCTGCGTCTCATTTGGGAGGAAACGGTCTCTTTTTGAGCCCAATAGATTCCCAACTATTCCTTGGTGAACTGTGAGCAGTGTACAGAGCAGATATTTACAAGTAAGCTTTGAGAACCCTGAATTCTTCTCAGAAAATTCAACTCCAGTCTTCTGGAGAGACAGTGTTGCAGGTTTGATTATGAACTACATGCCCCCCCCCCCTTAACTATGACATATCACATGCTCACAACATAGGGGGGTATTTCGCTAGAGGGTGACCCTACTGGCAAAACATTTTGTCCCAACGTTGATGAGGACCTTGTCCCAATGGTTGAGGGGGTTTGTGGATGTACATTCATTATCAGTCAAGCTGTCCAGGGATGTAGATCCACATCAATCACAAAGAACAAGGCCCAACAACCCCTGGAAAAAAAAAAACTCGAATGCCCGCCAACACGATCTTACCCTGATAACAAATCTTACATGACAGAGCTCTGCTGGATGTCAAATGTTCTAAATGAAGGAGAAAGGTCTCCCACATGATGAGTAGGGTCTCCTGTATGATGAATATTGTCTCCTGGAAGATGAATAGAGTCTTCTGGGTGATAAGTAAGGTCTCCTGCGTGATGAGTCGGGTATCACCAGTGATGAGAAGGTTCTCCTGGGTGATGAATAGAGTCTTCTGGATAAGTAAGGTCTCCTGGGTGATGAGTAGGGTCTCCTGTGTGATGAATATTGTCTCC